CATTTATTATATTGTGTAGGAATCCTGTGAATGATATCTGATTTGATTCCATTACGAATGTTTAGAATACAAACGGAATAGAGAAAAGGGTGTTTCGTATATTCGGCGTTCATATAAAAGAATTTGTTTTCCCCCAACATGCTTTCATTATCACAAATTGCCATATAATGAATAAACTACAACACAAAGTATACTTTTATGTAAATAAGAAACATCCAAAAGTTATTTTAATGACTATGATTGTCATTGATGAATTTCAAAAATTCATGGCAATGAATTGAATGGTTACCGAAAGCACTCGCCATTTGCAATGAACGAAATGAATTATTAATAATGCAAAGTGAAAATATCGGTGCACCTTGAGTACAATAATGCCCATAAATTTCAAAATGAGACAAGTAATGTATATTGATAAGTTTGCTTATTCGCGAATGAAAAAAATTCATTCACACGTTTTATTGATCGATGACAACTATTTGAAGGTGAATGATAGAAAAACTAGAGCGAGAATAATGAAGCTCTTTTTCTCGCTCTTTTGAATCTAGATGTAACAGTATTGCAGTTGTTTTTGATACAAAACTGGATCAACTTCACAAAATTTTGAGAAACAATATGGGTGGAAGAAGCAAAAAGTAAAAGTTTATTTTAAATTATTTGTTTCAACTTTTATGCGTTGGGATTTTGAAGGAAAATATCGTGAAAAATATTCTCATTTGAAAGTTGAGAAGATTGGGTTGAATTGATTTCATTTTTACGGGAGCTTATAACATCCATTTGAGCATGTCTGCATTTTCTGAAAAAAGTGTTCTGATAATCTCAATCCTTCTATTCAGACAAAAAACAAAACTGTTCCAGTCAAATTATAAAACAAAAATTCGAAAATGAAAAAATTATTGAAAAAATAAATTTATGAAATCAAAAGTGAAAATTATCGAGGAGAGATACATGCTCTTAAGGAAATATTTCGAAATATTCATGTCCTTAAATTTATGAAAGCTTGTAATTGGATATAATTATCGAATTCACAATTATTTATTTACATCAGTTTTTGTCAACTATTCAGTCAAATCTAATATTTAAAATTCATATTTAATTTTAAGAGTGTAGGCGTTTTTCAAATTCGAGCATTTTTGTTGTTGAGAAATCAACTATTAGGTTGTTTCAAAAGTTTTGTCCGTTTTTATCAGTCTGCAGTCCCATTCAATTTAATCGAAATGAGTGCCATTTGAATCAGTGTACTTTTGCCAACGTAATACGAGTCGATTAATTCAGACAGTATAAAAATATGTGCTCGGGATCGATGAAGTCGGCCGTTTTTGCCTGGTTCTGGCGAGAGGTCTGTGGAGTATGGTGGGTGAGACAGAACTTCGACGCCCAATTCGTTCAATTTTCGAACGGTAATTTGCGAAACGTGCGGACGTGCGGTGTCGTGGAGCTGGATATGACCTCTTCTGTTGACCTGCGCCGGCTGCTGCTGACTCAACCACTGTCCTGAACGTCTTCTGTTGATGTAGGGGATCTACTTCTCATTACACCAGTGTTGCCAAATGGATGAACTATAAAGTCGCTGAAGATAAAGCAAAATTCCGCTACACTGGTTCATATTTCGTTACATTTGTATATCTGTCGCAAATCATTTCGCGCATGCGCCCTATGTAAATTTAAATACTACGGAACTTAAATTGTGTACCGTTGGTACAATTAGATGAACCATCTTTCATTTCCACTGTGATTTGTTCCATATAATTTACAATACTTCAAACTTTTATTTTCAAAATATTGGAGTTCAAAAATATTATTCTTCTCTATCATCATGTAATGGCCTCAGCTACTGAGGTCAGTACATGTCATTTTCTACCTCATTATAATCTTGAAAGTCTTAATGGAAAGTGCTATCAAATGTAGTTGAGGAATAAAGGCTCGGCTAGCTGGACTGGCTGATTACTAATTTTTTGTCCGTTTCACAATATTTCTTTATCAGTGCCGTGTGTTCGTGGGGTTAGGTGAGGTAGTGAGTGGTTTTGAAAACCGATTTTTGAAAACTTTTTCTAGAGATCAATTTCCCTAACACCAAACTGATATTTTTGCACTCGACGCGCGTTTCGCTAACAAGGTTAGTTAACAATATATTAAAAAGCAGACAAATTAATTTGCAGGTAGTGGTTCCACTAGTTAATTACCGGAAAATCAATTAGGATAATCATCATTTAACAAACAAAGTCCACATCGGACCAAAAAACTCTAGGTATATAAACAGCTAATCCTTGTCTTTAAATGCAGTATCAATTTGCTTCTCCTGAAGATGCTAACCTTGTTAGCAAAACGCGCGTCGAGTGCAAAAATATCAGTTTGGTGTTAGGGTAATTGATATCTGGAAAAAGTTTTCAACTTTTACATCAAAGGTTCTAATATCATCGTTTAAACCGATTTTTGTACTTTCATCAATATGGCTTTCTGGAGACCTTTTGAAACAAATGATAACATTACGGGTGAGGAATCTGTGTCAATCGACAGGGATCCGGAATTTGAAAATACACGTGTTCAAGTTCAGCGAGTAATTTCAAATATTCATGAATGCTTGAAGAAGGAAAACTGTCACACTTCACAGAATGCTATTGTGAATAGAATATGTGAGTTAACGAAACTATCTCGTTCGACAGTTCTTCGAGTCATTAAACTAGGGGATGTCATTGACCATGCAATGAAACGAAAACAAAGGAATAAAAAATTCGCAAACGTTGATGGTGCTACAAAATATCTGATTCGGCGAACAATTTATGGTATATACCAAAAAAATGAAGTACCAACCTTGGAAATGATTTGGTATAAATTACTCGACTATCCCGATTACAATTACAAATCTTTAGAAACTCTACGAGGTGTCTTATTGTCTTGTGGTTTCAAATATAAAAAATTGAAGAATCGGATGGTCATAATGGAATCGACACGCATTGTTCAACTCCGACAAGAATATTTGAGGCGAATGAAAAGCTACCGAGAATCCAGCAGACATATAATCTACCTCGACGAAACTTGGTTTGACACCCATGATGTTGTCAAATATGGGGCTGGGTAGACGAAACCAAGTATTGTGCTTTGAACACACCTTCTTCAAGGGGAAAACGTGTTACAATTTTTCATGCCGGGAGTGAAAGTGGTTTCGTACCTAACGTTTTGCTTCTGTCGGCCAAAAATATAAAAGATTCGTCTGCTGATTACCACGAAGATATGACTGCGGCTTTATTCGAAACCTGGTTCAGTGAGCAGCTTCTCCTAAATATTCCTCCAAACTCTGTTATTGTTATGGATAACGCTTCGTATCATTCTCGGTTATTGACTACAATACCAAACAATAACACAAAAAAAGCAGATATTGTGTATTTCATGCGAAATCATAACATGGACATACCCGAAAAGATTCCAACGAAAAAGGTATTACTGGAGACCATAAAACAACGTAATTTCAAAAAAGAGTATATTATTGATTCGATGTGTGAAACACGTGGTCATATTCTCTTAGGTTCGTCTCCATTACGTTGAAATGGTTTGGGCCACAATGAAAGAAAGCTTGCGGAAATGTAATCAGTCACCGACTTTGAATGCTGTAGTGCTTGACAATATAAGGCGAATGGTGAATGAAGTAGGTAATAATGATGTGTAGAAGAACTGTGTGACCTACGCTATAAAAGAAGAGAACAAATATTATGTGCAAAATTCCATGAATCCGATGATGATTCCCCCTCATCCAAATATAGCGAAGAAGAATTTTGATTTTTCTAGCAATTTTGTTGGCCTCTATCATTTCCTAAATATATGTTTGACGAGAATTCGGTGTGATTATTTGTGTTTTCATTGTATTTTAGAGTTTTCGACTCGGAAATCAACTTAAATTTCGAAGTTTTTCATAGTTACCCATGGTGGAAAAATTCAGTCGAGATAACTTTTTCATGGGGTGATCAATTGCTATGATTGTAAGAATAAGTAACTGAAAAACTACCACTGAAAAATAATATGCCGACGCCTATGTCGAGGCGGGAATTCCTTCTCTGTGCTGTTCCAATTGGTATTGGAAATACTATACTGTGGTTCATTTTTATGGGCCGGCAAACTGAACTGTATTGTAAGTGACAATAACTACTTTCACTGGCACAGAAAAATAAACCATATAGTATTTTTTGTAGTACAAAAGGTACACTTCAATGTTAAAGTTCGTAAAATAAGACTTTCTATTAAGATTTTCGAAATGAATTAAGTGAAAAATTGCATTTGAAAAAATGATAAAAAGTACGTCAATTGACGAAAAATATTGATTCTTCAATTTTCTTTTCTCAATAATTTTTTGTTCGTCAGTAACTTGAAATAGTATACTGGATTTGAAAGAAAATCGTAAAACCGCATTAAAGGGCCGCAAAACAGGGAAAAAGAAATGCCAACATGACGTTCAGCATGGTAAAGTTATTGTAAAAATAACTATTTTTGATCGTCTTTTTGCTTTTATCACTCCTAATACCGAAAAATAAGTTCGTAATCATTTCACAATTTATTTTCCACCTCCAATGTACAGCTATGTGTAAAAACAAATAATTTTAGAAAATATCCTCATTTTTTTCCATGAAAAAAAATTCTCATTTTTTCCTAAAAAAAAAGTACTAACCTTTTGTGTTTTCAGATGATCTACCTATTTTTTCTCCCACTTCTGCTAAAAATTGGAGCCACCCAGAATCCATCGAACATAACGGAATGTTACTTCGATTCCAAATCCCCAACGCGAACCTTCCATTCCCTAGTCGAGTATCAAGGTTCAAAAAACAGTTTCAAGCTCCATCATCCGGGTTATGAAGGAAACGTCGTTAATTTTGATTTCAAAGCCATCGACACACTTCCCAAAAACTCCTTCATAAGTTTCGATTCAGATTACATCATCAAGCTCATTCTGGACCATAAAGGAATCCAAACCGTCGATATCGGAGCTTTCGCCGGTCTGTATTGCCTCCACGAACTTGACTTGAGCTTCAACAACATATCTCGTTTGATGGAAGGTTCTTTCGAGAATTTGGAGAATTTGATCAAACTGAATTTGAGCCACAATCACCTGGGAGATTTTCCTGAGAGCGGATTGACGTTCTTCACTCTCAAGGGATTGAGGGATTTGAATTTAGCCCACAACGAAATATCGAACTTGGATAGGTACTCTTTCATACCGCTGGAAAAGTTGGAGAGGTTGAATCTCGGTTTCAACAGGATAATGCATATCAACGACGGACTTTTCTTTCACCTCAGCTTTCTTGAGGTTCTGGAACTGAATAACAATTACTTGTTTGAGGTGAGTCCGGAGAATTGGAGGGGACTTATCAGTCTGAAAATATTGAATTTGGCTGAGAACTTTCTGATCAGTTTTGACACCACCGATAGCTTCAGCTTCGTACACTTGAACACCTTGAATCTCAGCGGTAACTCTCTCAGGCAACTCAACGTGTTAGGCTTGAGGAAACATCTACCAGAACTGGAGTTGTTGGATATCAGCGAGAACAACTGGTTTTGCGAGGACTTGGAAATCGTCAAGCATCATCTGAAAGACTCCAGGATAAGTCTGTCGAACTCCGTGAACTGTAGCGTTGTTAGAAAGACTTACGTGAAGTCTTTAACGACCGACTCTACTTCCACCAGGTCTTCGACTCCAACGCCCGTAATGTCTACTCAGCGGGACTACGCCAAGGAGGTTTTCTTGCAGAACGGAGAAATTCTGGTGGCCAATAAGAAGTTGGAGGGTAGAGTCAACAACATCGAAGCTCTGATCGTTTGGTTGTTTGTGCTGTGCATGTTATTTATCATGTTGGAGATGATCTTTAGAATGGGGTTGTTCAGGCGTTGTAGCAACTGGTGTTGCCCCGTGGTTTTGAGACATAATTATTCAGATTCGAGCGATGCTGAAACCGTTCTGTTGATGAGAGGGATGAATTCAGATCCGTGATAGATTCAGTAACGGTTCATGTATCCAGCCAGGAAGGGAAGTCATGTGATATGTGTATGTGATACAGAAAAATTTTGAAAATTCGAAAGGGAATTCAATGGACAAATGGCTTATTATACCACGTTCACGTACTTTGAAGATGATCGAAAATTGACGTGAATTTCAACGTTCTGACTACATACAGGGTGTTTCCTAATTGCGTTGAAGAAATGTATAGGCATGTTCAGGAGTTAATTTCATGAAAAAGGATACATTGTTTTCAAGATACAGGGTGTTGAACTTTTCTAAAAAAATATCTTTGAATGCATGTCTTCAACTGAAGAAACTGCTATGTTGTGAAACGCATCTTTAGTAAAATTCCTAGTCAATAATTATTATTGTGGATAATGTTATCAATTTTCATCAAATAACTGGTCAATGTATATTATATACGAAGTCTGTTCGAATGACATGAAAACTAAGTAGTTACCGAACGTCTGCAGTTTCCTTGTATGGCATGGGCGGCGTGGTATAATTACGAGATCCATTAGATGAGGCCCAGACCCGGTACATTAGTCTTTTATTTAGCGATTGAATTCGTATAGACTATAATCATAATGAGAAATAATTGATTATAGTATCGATCAACTGTTGAATAGTTGATATATCAGGTGATATTCAAGTTTGGTTTTGAGTCGAGTAAATTTATTGCATAAGTTTTTTCCACACCTCAGAATTGTAACACTTATACCAACTTTGTTGGTGTCAGCAGGATATGATATAAAGTTCGAACTATCTTTCGAAGATACCAACTAGGTTAGTGAAGAGCGCGTCGAGAAAAGTGTGTTACAGTTGTAGTGTGTGAAAAAAATATTCTTGTTGGAAACCAACGTTTGTTGAGGTTTTGGATAGGTATGATTTTTTTTAACAATGTAAGGAATATGATATTAACAATGACACTTTTGTCTATTGACAAATTCATTTGAACAGCAAATCAATGACTGCCAAAATATTGTGTTTTGCGATGTGCGAATGAATGTCCATTTATAATGAGAAAAAATTTTTTTTGGACTTCGCCGATACCACTTATTCTTTTTAAGTTACTCAATATGACATATAGAACTAACTTTTTGCAATATGTTTGCCGACTCAATAAAGATGTGTAATTCCAAATGATTGAAATCCTCATTTGCAGAATGCTTTTTTTGTATATTTCAACAACTATGCACTGACTATTTTTTATGTCACAAAAACAGATATTTCTACTAGTATTTCAAATTGAGGATAGTCTTTTTGGAATCGATTGAAATTCATTTTATGTACCTGTTACTTGCACTAATATTTTGTGTAAATAAATAGTACAATCTGGAAAGTTGTGTTATTTGTTTTTAGACATACTAAACATACTTACATTACCTCCATGTATATTCTAGAAGCAGTATTGTTTGTACATAAAAATAAATATAATAGTGGCTCCAGGATTCATAATTATGATATAAAACACAAAGATATCATCAGGCTACCGAAGATGCATTATCAAAAGACAGCCAAACAAACGGAGTTTTTTTCCATAAAAATATATAACACTTTGCCTAGTGAGTGGAAAGACCTTCATATCAAAGAATTGAAGTTCAAAGTGAAAAGTTCACTTGTCACCCAAGCTTTCTATAAGATTGATGAGGTATTCAATTGTCAGTGGACCTAATATATGTACCTATATGTGTGTATTTTTATATTGTGTCATAACTATTGTGAAATTTTTTATGTACTCTATGTATATTTTTTATATTTTCAGTATGACGTACCTAAGCAAATTTTTTTATTGCAGATATTTTCGAATCTAACAGAAATTGTAATTTGAGGTCAATAAAATTTCTTTCTTTCTTTCATTTAGTAGGCTTGTCTAAGAAAAGAAGCGGTTGTAGTGTGTTGCTTGGACCATCTTGGACTTTGTTCATTCTTGCCAGAATTCTTTGATGATTTCAGTGGTTTACACAAAATTTGAATTAATATAAATTTGGATATATCAAAGAAGAAGGTAATTCAAATCATGAAATTATGAGACAACAAAAATTTATTGGTGCTCCGTGGCGACTTTCCGGGAAAACCCGGAAAAACCTGCAGCACCACATCATCCGAAGATATTGATCTGCTAATGTCCTCTCTCTCATAAAACAAAATGTAGGGTGTCTCCAGAGGCTTCAATAAATTCAAAACATCACCAGAACACTTCGTGACACGACTATCGTCAAACTTAAACCAGTCCGTTTCGTCTTTGACCAAGGCGTAATAATGACCAAATTCAACGCCAGAACCACAGTGAACAATGACTGCATGAAGATTATAATAGTGGTCTGCTTGAAGTGTTCATCTATATCGAAACTTCGTAAGAGTTTGGTGCTTTCGTCAGAGGTTGAGTCATGTTTGAAGATCATCGGTGTTATTATTAGATTGACTGGTGCCTCAGCTATACTTGTTTTGTTATAATAGTCAGTTAGTTTGGTGCATGTTTGGCAATACAGTTGATCATCACCCGTTAAAAGTTCCATTTTCAGATGATTTAACAATAAGCTTTGCACGGACTGGATATCAGTCGTATTAGGAAACGCTAGTTGAAGTTTCAGAAAATCACATACGTTTTTGCTACCTCTTGAACATTTACTACAAAGTAAACAAGTGAGGATTTTTACAGAAAAAGATCTATAAACACAAGACGAGATATACTATACGGAATTATTAAATCCATAGCGGTCAGGAGTATTGATTCTGCTATTTTTTTGCTCACGAAGAGTATTCAACAAGAACCCTAAGAATTCGAAGCAATCCTCCTGTTGTCCTAACGAGAATTTAGTTGACTTCAAAGACTCCAGGAAATCGATTTGTGGGAAAGATGATATATTCTTACGAAACTGCAGCTGCATGAAAAATTGTTTGAGTAGGAAACATTCTCGTTCTCGTTCATCGTTAAAACCTCGTTCTTGAAATTCTTCGTCTTGAACAACACTTGTAAAACGCTATTCATGTAGCAAATGTTTCCTAAAATATCTAATCCAATTTTCTTTCCAAGATTTTCAGGACAACTGTCTACTTATTCGTAAGGAAGAACATGTTTCACAGAATCTGTATCAGAACCATGCGGTTTTTGATACTTCAAAACGTAACGAAAACGATGCTTTTTTGGATCGGATCGTCACGAATGATGAAAAGTCAACCCTTTACGACAACAGAAGATCTTCAGGACAGTAGTTGGACACTGATGAGCTACTCAGGCACTTCACAAAGGCGGAAGCCCACCAAAAAAGACCATGGGTAATGTATGGTGGTCAGCAGCTGGTGGTTGGACACTGATGAGCTACTCAGGCACTTGATAAAGGCGGGAGCCCACCAGAAAAGATCATGGGTAATGTATGGTGGTCAGCAGCTGGTGTTATTCACTATTGACTATCTTGCTACCGGGCCAAACCGTCACAGCCGGGTCCTATTGTGAGGAAATCGGTCAAATGTACCAAAAATCAGCAGCAGTTGGCACTAGCCAACAAAAGAGGTCCGATCCTGCTCCGCGATAACGGAGCTGGATCGTACGAAAATTAAACGAATTCAACGTCGAAGTTCTACCCACCATACTTTTCAGACTTCTCATCAACTAATCTTCAACCAATCATAATCAAGCACTTCGATAACTTTCTCACCGGTAGATCCTTCGCCAATCAGGACCAGGGAAAACGGCCTTCGTCGACTTCATCGAATCCCGATCACATAATTGTTGAAAAATTACGTTGCATATTTTACAAATTCAAACGGATAGCAAACATACTCAATCAAAAACAGTAAACTATGTTATATAATAGTTTAGTAGAGCCCCATCTGAGATATGGTATAATTGGTTGGGGTGGAGTGTCGAAAACTCATCTACATTCTTTTGAGGTTATGCAGAAAACATTTATCAGATGTATCCTACGGAAAAGTTGCGACTACTCTAGCGATCTACTTTATTCAGAATCTGGAATATTTGATCCCAGACAGCTGTTTTTCATTAATAATACTATTGCACAGCATAAAAACAAAAAAGAATTAACTACTCATCACCATAAATATGATATACGTCGGAATCATAGTATCGTCATACCATTTATGCTCAAATCAGTTGGGCAGAAATCCTACCGGTATTTAGGACCGAAACTCTACAGTTTTCTTCCTGAAAATTTAAGATGCGAATCAAATCTAGAAAAATTTATGACATTTGTCAAGAATATACCACCACCAGAGATACATAGACAAATATAAATTCAAATACTTACTTCCACGATTGTGGATATATATTGTGTATTAATTTGTTTGTAGTCTAGAACCTTTATAATTAAAATCTCTATATCCATTGATTGTTTGATTTATTTATATTCTGTTCAAATGTGTCCAGTTCAAACTTATGTTTTTATCCATACTTAGTATCCATTCAATACATTCGTTTATTTTTAATTCTTCATATCCTGTTCAAATATGTCCAGTTTAAACTTATATTCTTATCTATTTCTAGTACTTATTCCAATAGAATGATTCGTTTCATTTATTTATATCCTGTTGAAATGTGGCTATTTTACATTCATATCTTAATACTTAATTTAATGCAAGAATCTCATTCAATGTCAGATTCAGTATTCTCATTCCTTACACACAGGCAAATCATTTTGCATCATAAGATGTATTTTATTTGTTCACTGTTCATTTCTATATGTACATGTATGTATATTTACTGTAAACAATCTTAAAGTGAATAAATACATATTATTATTATTATATTATCTCGAAAACGAACACCTCCAGCGTTGTTGAGAAAGTGTACCTTTTTTACTTGGACAAGGTGTGGGAATTGGGTTTTTTCATGAAAAGTACCAAAAGTTTACTTTTAAAAAAGCAATTTGAAATAAATAATGACAGCGTACGCATCGCCCTTTGGATGTTACATGAAAATTAATACGAAATTATGATTTTCCACGTCAAAAAACCCCAGGTACCAAATTTCGTGCAAATAACTTATTTTTTGCAACAGTTATTTTTGAAAATCAAACAAAAAAATTCAATTTCAACACCCTGTATCTCCTGACGAAGCATTTCCGAACACAAATTTGAATTAAACAAAATTAAATTGTCACTTTAATATTTTAACACACTTATGTTACCCCTGTATAAAAAATTATAACTAGGAGTCTATTCTATAGTTTTCTATCTAGGGGTCTTGAGGTTCACCTATATAACTTGTCCCAAAGAAAAAGGTATATTGAAAATTCACTCTTCCGTTTGTGTCGGTAGTTCTAAAATCTGTTAACGATTCGACGCAATTTTTCAGACAAACAGGGTAATTTTATATGAATAGATCACTGTTAATTTCTTTAAGTGTAATAAAAAATAATATAGACCTTATTGAACATTGAATTCAGACACATGTAGATATACTTTTTCTTTTTCTTACAGTTCCTGTCTGGTAGTAGGAAACATTCACAGAAGGTAGATATCGGCAACAAAAAGGTAATAATACACTTAGTTGATAGGCAAGTTTCTTGTATACAACTTATCCACCCAAAAATAAAAGATATTCAATGCGATATTGGAAAAAATTCCCAATATCGCAGGTGATATCTGTAAATCAAACATGTATATAGATAATTTTAAAAATAATATTTTATTATTATCGAAAAAAAACACGTGTGGGTATATTGAATGTTAAAAATTCGAATGATTGGAATGTTTACTATTTGCCGTAGAATAGATATCTATTCCTTTTTTTGTATGGTAAATAATACAGAACATACTTGAAATTGTGGTTTAAACTTTAGAATAACATAATAATGCTAATTTGTTTCGTTTGACTCGTATTTTGCATTAAAGTTCATTTGAAAACAACACTGGATCGAAATGAAAACTTTCTATGATAATATAATAGATGAATCGAACAGTGAGTTCTCGTTGAAACAAGTGATATTCACAAATTACTGAGACGAACTCATTACACGTACACATTACAGAGTTAGAGCTTCAAAAATCAAGTGAAGTCTTTCTAAGCATAGTTTTTGACCAATTTTGACCAATACGGACCTTCAACGGCCTTTGATTTCAGAAATATTTGTGGAACAGAGTTAGTTTAAAGAGTTTTTCTCGGTAATTTTTTGCTCTGTTCCCTCAAAACTTCAGTTAAAAGTTTTATGGGTGATCCTGCCCTGAAGCCGCCTCTGGTCTCAAGTTGGTGTTGCGCTATTCCCGTAGATGGCGCTGTAAGTAGCGATACATCTGAATAATTGAATCAAAGTGAGGAATGTTGCACGTACTAAGTGCTGCTATCTGGAAGGTTTTTTTTAAATTTATCCAGTAAATTTTGATTTCTCATTAGATCGGTTATCAGTATAATATATACTTAATTGATTTATTGATTTCAATGGTTAGGTATTTGTTCGCTGAATATACTGTTCGTTTTTCTTTTTCGTCTATAATTGATTAATGAAATTCAAAATAGAATCTAAATATAGATAATGTTTGTAAACAAATTAAAGATGTGGTGATCTAGACGAAAGTTCAAAGTATAAAAGTACTTCTTGCGATCGTAATTATTGATTATTTTGACGATTTTAGGAATGTGAGCATTTTTTTGAGGTATGCGAACAGCCAGTAGCCGCTGGGAGCCAAATCTGGCGAATACGGTGTTTATCAATATCTTTTCATAACATTTTGGGGAGAGTTATTTGGAGGCATTTTGAATTCAGATAGAAAAATCGCTCACGTAAAGTAAAATTATCGTATAAAAATAAAAAAAAATCGGTAAAACTGATGCAGTTTCCAAACTGGTTTTAAAAAAGAATTCTGTGCAAAAACAGCATTATGGGTCAAATCATTTTGGAATTATTCGGAAATGATCCTATTGCCGAGTTTAGGTTTATATTTGGATGTTTGTTAAAAAACTGTTTTGCGATTTATTAGACAAACAATACTGAAGATTTTGAATCAAAAATTTTACACACATTGCAAGAAGGCGGCAAAAAAAACTTGGGATATTAACATCAACGTAACCTCCATCAAGAGCCATACAACCGTTTCAGCGCCGCTCTAACATTTTAATATCACTTTTGTAGAACAATTTATCTCTTGCCTCAGAATAGGCCCCAGTTTCAGCCGTAACCCCTTCGTACGAGCAAAATTTCTTACCGGTGAGCATTTCATTGAGGACTGCGAACAGCCAGTAGTCGCTGGGAGCTAAATCTGGCAAATACGGTGGATTTGGGAGCAATTCGAAGTTTAATTTATCTAGTTTTGCTATTGTTTTGATTGACTTGTGACACAGTGCGTTCTCTTGATGATACAATTTTTTTTTCTTTGCCACATGCGATTGTTTCTTTGCAATTTCGGCCTTCAAACGATTCAATATCGTTGTATAATATTCACTGTTCCCTTCTCAAGATAGTCGATGAATATTACACCTCGCACATCTCAAAATACCGAGGCCCATAACCTTTCCAGCCAATTGTTGTGCTTTCGGGTGCTTTGGACGAGCCTCCAAATGATGAACTATTGAATGTATTTGTCCAGTTAGATGGGTGTTCAGTTTATTATGCCAGAGCTGTACGTTAACAACATGCCATGGCAATCCATTGTTGGATTGGCCACCAACATCTCCAGATTTGACAAGTTTAGATTTCTTTCTCTGGGTCAATTGCAAGGCCGTAGCCAGAAAACAATTTCGGGGGGGGGTTGGTTTGGTGGAACAGTAGAAAAACATGAAACATGAAAATAACGAAAGAAAGAAAATTGTGTTGCATGGTCATGTATATTTATTAGAAAACCATTACAGAAATATTAACATTTTTCTACAAAATCAAATTTAGTTTTCTAGCTTTCTTTGCAGCAAACAAACCAATTACCTCCTGGGTGTCGATGTTAATTCTACAGTGGATTGACATTAACGCCAAACCGTTTAGTCGTTCCTGGCTTGTGGAGTTTCTCAAATAAGTTTTGAGGCGTTTCAGAGAAGAGAAAGTACTTTTAGGGGTATATGTGGAAACAGGTAGTGTCGGTAAGATCTTTGAAAGTTTGTACGTACATTGCCGTAAGGTTTTTCCATTGTGTTTCGGGGAAGTTTTTTCAATATTCTCTTTCAAGCACTTGTATAAAATTTCTAACGGATTTCATAATTCCAATAGTATCTGTATCTGCAGAGTGGGAAGGGTGAGTGTAGGCCCACTGCACTAAGACCACATGTGACCAATTGTACATTCTTCCAAGGAGTTGTCCTCCTAGGTCATCGTCGATCCTGTCCTTTCCAGGAAGATGGATAGGTCACTAGTAGACATCTCCTTTATATCGGTAGGTGTAGGCCAAGGCTCGCCGAACACACACTCTCTTATTGACAATAACTCCGGACACTCGAATAGGACATGCCTGACAGTTTCATCTTTCTGTTCACACATCCTGCATAGAGGTGTGTCCACTAGCTCCATATTATGGAAGTGTTTTCTTAGTTGTCGGTGGCCAGTCAGAAATCCTACTGTTAAGCGTAGATTTTTTCCTGGTCATCGTTAGATATTTCTTCGGTGCCAGCTTCCCAGGATCGTCCAGGGTGATCCTAGCAAAATTGCATCCTTTGATTTCATCCCATCTCTTTAGGGATTGAGCATGGGTGTAACGTTTGGCTAGTTTTGCAATTGTCGAAGTCATCAGGCGGTAGATGCCACTGGGTTCTAGCCGCTTCCTTGGCTAAAGAGTCGGCAATGCGATTATACCTTTACTCCTGTCGTGCTCTTTAATCTACCTCCGGATAATGTTATTATCTACCGAGTCTTTGGCTAACTCTAGGTGGCACTCTAGTACTAGCCCTGAGGTAACACGATGTCTGTTCGTTGTCTGGCAATTGAGCCAGCCAGTTCTGTTTGAACCACGCTGGTATTTTTTCCCATTCCCCCTTAGGCTTAGTGATCTGGAGTACACTCCACATCCTGATCCTTCTTTGGTTTTTGAGCCGTTGTATATATGCGTATTGCATTTGTAGCATCTGACTCTGTGTTCTGTTTTATTTGTATTTTGCAAGGTTTATTAAACACAAACCTTGGTACAATTGCATCACTGGTTGCCTGCAGCAGAGGTTGCGCAGTAAGCGCTTCTCGCCATAAGCTCAGCCCCAATTGAGCCATATCTACTTCGAGGTTTACAGCAGCCGTGTGCAATCGTAACATGGCCATTAATGCAACCTTCTTAACGTATAGCTCCAGAGGGGACAGACCAGTAATTAATTCCATTGCTGTGGTTGGTGTCATTCTCATGGCTCCTGTGATGTTTAAACAAGCCAGTCACTGTATTTGATATAATTTTTGGATGGCCGTTGCTTGTAGAACTTTTGGGGGGGGGATCAATTCCCATTGATCCCTTCCCTGGCTATGGCCTTGGTCAATTGGTAAGAGGACTATAGGATCTAAATCAAAAAGAGTTTTGAAATGAAATATTTTTTTGATATTAGTTACTTGAGTGTTACGTTGAATATTGTGTTCATACAGTGCAACTAGTTGGAAAACCACGTCTCATAACTATCTATTGGTACAGGGTGTTCTTTTGTGACAATTGGTTTGGTGAGTTTTCTATTTTTCAGTTGTATCTTTTTTATTAGCTTATTAATATCTTTTCATAAAATTTTGGTTATAGTTATCTGGAGGCATTCTGTATTCAGATAGAAAAATCGCTAACGCAAAGTAAAATTATCTTCTCATCTTTGAGGTTTAAATCTCCGGAACGAAATTTGGCAAATCAACGTCTAACAGTGCGTTCATTGAAACTATCATTTTTATTCGGACTGTTTCGGCAGCCCTTTGGTTCAATCTGAATTGTAGAAAAAAATTAGCCGAAAATCGCTGAAAAGAGGGAAAAAATTAAGAACACATGGCACATGACATGAAAACGGAGAAAACTTTTGAAGCAATCTAATATATGGGTGTTTCCAATCCAAATGGATCACACTGTATACTGTTTGCCAGTTTCGCTCGTCTCCAATTTTGTGTTTCGGATATATTTCCTTGAAAAAATAAGTACATTGACTTCTCAGGGTGTCATTTCAGTATGAAATTGAATTACCGACAAAAAAATTCTCGCTACAGGGAATATCTTCGTACATGGAATGGCACAATAATACGCAGCAACCGCCACAAAGATCGAATCCACTGTTGGGAAACCGACGACGGAGGTCACCATTGACGTCAATCGCGGTGGTCATGTGCCTTTTAAAAACTCTCGCCGCCTTTCGAGGAATTCACAAGTGCTTTGGACACAGTTCTAGACGGTTGTCTGTTACTGCAATTGCCACTTGAATTTATAACGATTGGAAAGTGCTCAGCGACATGCAAACTTGTTTCAGAACGTGAAAATAGTACTAGATTTTTGTGTAGAGTCGTGAGCCTCAACGAAAATTATGAAGGTATATTCGCAGGTGTCTCTAAAATATGTAGTTAATTTAGGACAAGCGTACTTTTAGGTACTGGACGATCTCACTTCATTAAAGTGCAGTTGGAAAGTAAAGATGACCGTTCGGTAAAAAATTCTTTAAATTTTTTTAATGTATAAAAAACATATGAAGGGCCAGGGGGGAAAAGATGAAAGTGAC